AAAGCACACATGATACACGCAAAATAAAATAACAACAGACCTAAAACTTTACATGTGATAATGATTCCATATTTAAAATAAAAATATTTAGTTACTATTTTCCTATAACGTGACCTACATATTGTTTTATAGTGATTGCTATATACAAATCTTTTACATCTCGCGGATGAAAAAGTACTACTTATTTTTAAATTTTAAGGGGCTGTTAAGAAAATCCACCCGTTGCAAAGCTGTTGCGTGGAGCAATAGGTGCACGAGAGTTCTTATATTATTTAGTTGCGCCTGCCATTAGTCTAGCGATAAAGTCAATGAACACTGGGAGTTTGGCGGGGGTTCGAGTTCTTGCAAACAGATTGGCTGCATGGACATTTTCGTGTTTTTCTCTATGTGTAATGCAGATTCCAGCCGCTGTCCTTTTGAAAATCTTTCAAAAATACAACTCTCACTTTATATTCAGGTGTTGCTATTTGGTAGATGCGTTCGAGATTCTGACGATTTAATTTAGGGTTGCAGTGAAAATATTTCGAAATTTTTTTATGGCTACACCGATTTTTTCTGGGAAAATTTATCATCGTATTGAAAAAAAAAATAAATGACATTTGAATGATACACATATCAGCAAAATTTTAGGCGTTAAACATTTGGAAAAAAATATTGTAAAGGACAAATGACAACACAAGAGAAAACAGGGAAAATTTCTTCTGAGCATCGCAAGATTTTAGACACTTCACGAAAACCGGTATTTAAACAGCATTTATTAATTGAGTTTGTATAATTACTTATTTTCGTCTATATTTTCATAAACTTACATTCATTAAGATGATGCTTACATTATTAAAGACAGTAAGATTATAAGGTAATATATGCCAAGTAGCAAAACTTCTGATGATAAAGCCGTTCATAACGCTCAGAAGGTTAATTGGAATTCCAAGTTTTCAACGCGCCCACCATCGGCAGACAATAAGGCATTGCATGCGAAATATTATTGAGAACGATGAAGAATATAATATCGCAGAAGGGATCAAACAAATTTTACGTTTCATAGCAAGCATATTTCAAGGTCTTTACGCCATCGACAGAACAGGTGGCCCACTGGGTTAGGTCGTGGCCTTAGAGATAATCTCGAAGGCCACGGTTAGGTGCTCTTCAGCCGATTGGAGGTCTAACAAATCTCGCGGATTTGATGCGTATACCAAATTTCAGATAACCTCAGAACCAGAAATCCTTGGGATCACGGTGGCCATAAACTGCAAAAGTATGGAAAATGATTTTATCTTGAAACGTTGTACACTGCGAAAAAAAAAAAAATGGGACAGTTCTATATCTTCCGTTCTACCGGGCCGATTGACGAAATTCAAAATTGCGTTTTTCATGTCTCGAAAGCGTGACTTAGGATATATATTAGATTTATATGTAGCATCAATTCTAACATAGATATTTTTGGCACAAAATAGGACTTTTTCTGAAATGACCTGCCAAATTTTTTTCCCCATATTTCGATTTTATGATTCAAATTATGCCAGACTACCAAGTTTTGTAAAAATCGCACGAGTAATTTTTAAAAACTTAGTTCTCAAAATTTTAGCTTCTCAATGTTAATTGAATTTCATATATATTTATTAATATCTCATTTTTTATTAAACCCTTTTGATTCTTCCTCTCACATTTCGAAATTTAGGTTCATTCCCAAAAAAAAAAAAAAAAACTCACACATTTTTATGATTTAATTTTTTAAATTTGTATTTTTAAATAATTTTTATTAATTTTTCGAAACAAATTTTTAAATATAACGTATTTTTAAATATAACGTATAAACGTATGATGTTATATTTTAAATATAACATCATCCTAAAGTAGGTGTATTTCTAAGCATACTTGCAAAAAATTAGAATTTTTTATTCAAAATTTTCTAAGATATACACGAATTTTCATATTTGCGCGGTTTTGAATTTGACATCTTTTTTTGAGCGATAATAACGCCAAATGTGGTTTATGTGTGTGTATTGTGTATTTAATTATGGCAAAGCACACCAGGGCTATCTGCCTAAGGGGAGGGATGCCTTCGTGGAGGACTTTCTAAGGGAAACTGGCTCGTATACACGTTACACATGGGGAAAACCACGAAAACATCCATGCTGCCAGCACGTTCGCGGGATTCTAACTTCGGACCGAACTACCAGTGTTCAGCGACTTTACCGCTCGGCCGCTGACATGTGGCTTATGAATTTTGTTACAGTGAACTGCCACAACTATTTTTAACCTTAATTTTAAATAAATTTTTACGTAGAATTAATTATATGAAGTTTTTCCCCTGAATAATGTGTAATAAATATTTATTAATGCTATATAAAAAGCTGTTTTTTTAATTATAGACGACATTATTCAAATTTTTAACTTTTTTTTTTCAATTTCTTTCTTTCTTCCACATTTATAAATTGAGTAAAGGTAATTTTGTAAGAGTAAATTTTTACCTTCGCCGTGTTATCGTCTGCTACTTAACTTCATTTAAACTGAGTTATCTAAAACTGAGATAGATCGTTTGATGTTTATTTTCAAAATGTTTTTAAGCAAACAGGACGTTGACAGTTTGGGCCATGTCCCAGCTTTAAAAAATATATATAAATATAAATTTTACATTAAATCCCTTAGAAAGAATGTTTTAAGTAGTAATTTTCTCTCGTACTGTAGATTTTATAAAAAACATCTTTAATATAGAAATTTTTAGGCTTAAAAAGTCTAAATAATATGATTAAGATTTTTTGCACCCGAAATAAGAATTGGGTCACTCGGTGGTACAGGATAAGCGCTGCTGGAGTGGTTTATTTCTTTCTCATTTAACAAAAATCTTTTAATTCAAATATTTATCCTTTCGAATTTATGCTTTAAACTTTATTTATATTGTCTAGAAGCTCTCTTCAGCTGAAACGCATTTAATGCAATTGATATTAAAAAAAATGACAAGAATGGAAAATTTATGCAAATGTAAAAATCGAAAAATCTTAATTTTCATGTGTCAGCACTGAAAATAAATGTAAAAGGAAAGAAGGAAATCAGGTGGAAAGAAGCAAAAATTTAAAGAGGAATCTACTTCAAGAAAGTTGGGTGTTCAAAGAGAGAACCAGCAAACACTTACAATAGCAAATAGCATCAATTGAGTTTGTACTAACGGAAAAGACAAAAACGATATCATTGCAGATTAAAGTTGAGAGCGACTGGTTTTCGGCTTATGGTTGTATAAATTTAAATTACGTCATAGAAAATCATATTGTATCACAAACGGAACACGGCATGATTTCTCAGTCGAACTATTTGAAGATTCAGGAATTTATCCAGTGACGTACATGGATGTCAGCTAAAGACGTTTTCCGTCTTGATGAAACCAGTCTTTCCTTTCATCTCATGCCTTCAATGCCTAGCCTCTAAAGACTGATAAAGGTCTTCAGGGCCAAACGTGTAAGCATGTTGGCATTTTTTTACCTGAGCCTGCATTTGGACACGGTCAACTTTATGTTGCCTGTTCAAGAGAGTTCATGAAAGAAGAGGTAAAATTAAAAATAATAGATGGTCCTCTGCAAGGCAAGCTTAAAAATGATGGAAAGATCTACACAAATGTTGTGTACAAAGAGATCTTTGACATGTGAATTAACATTTCATTATATAAATCACCTTTATTGATTGAGCTAGCGGTGGGCTCTTAAGAAATGTACCGCCAGTTTTTTCCTTCATTCCATTCTACTTTAAGCAATTAAGCAAGTAGGAGGGGAAACCCAGTGGTGCAGTAAACAAAGGGCGTCAGTTTTGTAATGGTGTTTACTCCTTTGGTTTTCTATTGTTATCGCTATCTGTATGTGTTTTGTTCTAATTATGTCTATGTGATTCTAGTATTTATTCAAAACTGGCACTTGCACCTTTGTAATCTTATGCTTTGTCAAAACTAAAACTTCAAATGTACCCTTTATTTATCTATTTATTTTATTTTTTTTTTTTTGAGCCCTTGTCTGGCCATGTATTTGTTGAACTTTGACTCAATAATACTAGGCCCGGGCGTTTGGTGTGAATATGCTTCTGGGGCTTCTTTGGTCTTTTGGACTGCCTACCTGGACGGCCTCGCTGTTTCGGTGTATGGTGCGAGGCGCCTGTGTGGTCCATCTGGCTCAAGATAGAGGTGGACGTGTTGCATATGCCAATTAACCATTACGGTAAAGGGATGGTGCACACGTCCCCCGTCAACTATCAACTATCAACTCGCCGCCTGCCCTGGGTAATTCAGTTTAAACTAGCAGACACATTTGCACAAATCATTTTAATTGCAAATTATAATATCTAGAACAGCGGTCATTTCGTTTGACCACCGGGCTTTCTAGTTTTTATATAAATGAGTAATATCATAAACTTCCTATGCAGATTTTGTATAGTGAAATGTCGTCTTTTAAGTCTGCATGTCGAGATCATCAATATACATATTTTAATAGGCGTTTCTGTACATTTCATTTATCTAATAATCTAAGTAAATGTACTGAAAAGTTTGAAAATTGCATCATATGAGAGAGTTAAGAAAAATGTGAATTAATGCAAAGGAGCCACGAATGAAAACTAACCTGAGAAATCGAAAACGAGTTACAAAATAGCTAGGTGAGAAATCCAAAGCTTGAGTTAGTTTAACTATGTTGTCATCATACTATCTCGAAGACAAAATCACGAAAGCAAAGTATAAGAAAATAAGCATAGACAGAATGAAAGAATGACATCAAGAAAATTCATAACCAAACGAAAGTATATTTTCATACAGCAAGCACGTTAATCGGGGGTTTCTACGAGTTAGCTTTTTAGTAGTACACCGCAAAAAATTACGATATTATAAATACATTTTTGCAATAAGTAAGCGTTAAAGTGTATCATTTCTAAAAGAAACAATTGCCAATGAAAATTAGGAAATCTTTCTGAACATTGGAACTAGATGAAAAACACGAATAGAAAAATATTTAAAACAAAATAAATACCTCCACAGTTTTCCGGCGCAACAATTTCTATATTCTGCTGCAGGCTGCATGCTTCTTCTCTAAGATAGCACTCATTCTCGTAAAGTCTTCCATCGGATCCGCAGACACGGTCGCGAATTGGAGAACAGTGGAATGTGCAAACGCAATGCACATATCCTCTGGGGTCGTGATCACATACACCTCCGAAGCGGCAGTTGGCCATCTCACAAGTTAGACTGTGCATGCTTACATCATGTTCTGAAAATGAAATGAAATGTATTAAATAAATGTTGAATACCATATAAAATAACGTGTATTTTATGAGGTTTCAGGGAAAATTCAGCTGTTATTCTCACAATCTCAGAATAAATTTGATGAAAATTAAAATAAGCTAAAACGTTTGCGAACAATCATTTGACAACTGGGCATTATTCTAATACGAAATCATCACATGACATGTTTATATGTAATCTACTTAAAAAATGGTACATGTAACATATAAACTAGCTTGGAATCGACGGTTTTGTTTTTCTTTTTCCAAAGAGAAACGAAAATACTTCAATTTGAAACTTTTCATTTTGAATTATAAAAGTCTATGAAAAATCTTGAAACATCATTCGTGATATTATTCTTAATACAGAGAAAATTTAATATCCTTCTTAATAAAAAGGGAACATGCCAAGCAGTGCTTCTCTATTCAAAAAAGCACAAACAAATTTCGGAACGACGCGTAATTTTTGCGGCTGTTTAAAATGCGAAGCTTTCCATTTCGAAATAAAAAATGCCGACACAAAAAGCAGTTTCAATCAATATCTTTAAACATCTTTATGTAAGAAGCTACAAACAAAATAATAAATAAAGTTTTACATGTAACAAAATTTGAAAAGCATAATATTGCTGCATTTTGCTTAAAAACGTGGTTAAACGCAGAACATGCCTTTATCAAAACCATTGGTCTAGAGACAATACTTGTGATTTTCTTAAAGCACAGATTAATTAAAAAGGCTGTAATAAAAGTAAATCGAGGAAAAAATGTAAATGTCACTACTAATTGTAAGAAATGTTCGTTCATGTAAAAAATAAAAATTAAATTGATAATAAGGCAGTCAAATGAATATTTGAGAAAAGTATTTACATTTTAAACACTTATTGTCATGTATGAAATCTATAAACAGTCTCTTTATACGTTCATTTGGAGTGAAGTGGTATAAAGAAATCAATAAACCTTTTATAAAAGTCAGTGATGTATGATAGCATTATCACTATTGAAAAACATCTAAAAGTTCAGAAAAATATCTAAAAGTTATTCGAAAAAGAAAAACCATTTTTGTTTTCAGTTGAAACCTTTTATAAACCTTTTATAAAAGTCAGTGATGTATGATAGCATTATCACTATTGAAAAACATCTAAAAGTTCAGAAAAATATCTAAAAGTTATTCGAAAAAGAAAAACCATTTTTGTTTTCAGTTGACACGTATGTCACTTACGTTTGGAAGGTGATTTGTTTTATTTAAAATGTTATTGTGTCAAAGAACAAAAAATACTTGTCCTGTTAACAATAAAATTTTGAAGTATATACTTTTGAGAAAAAAGTAGATGTTTCGAATAATTATATTGATTTAAAAGTACTTCTCTAGCATTGCAATATTTCTTCTGGAATGAAAGATGAATATTTTCCGCATACCTAGCAATAATTCTTAATGATTTCGATATAAATGTCATATTCATGACCTCCTCCTAGAAATCTGGATATATCAAGCAATGTTATAGGACAACCTACAACGGACTGATAGCAGACTTATTGGACAAGCAAAAATGTATCTTAGCATTATATTACTCTTAGTCTTAATCTATGTCTAACTATTCTAGAATTCATTCTCACAGTAAAAGTACTTGATCTGAAGGTGGAATAAAACTGATTTTTATGAAATCATACTTTCACACCTAAAGACGTGGCAAGGTCACATGCTATGATTAGGAGCATCGTACTTTGTAAACATGTCAGCAATGTAATCTGAAAAGTCTCTGGAATCTATTCTCTCATATTGGTTACTGAAAACAGTAGAAATATATAAAAAATTCAAAAAGGCAACCCTAAGCGTATCTGCCTCAACCCTTTTGAAGTTCTTTCTTTTGTGGCAATTCTTACAAGAGATAAGTACATTTTAATGCTTGCTTTAAAAACATATTAGTTCTCGGTTAATAATGGTTTTAGTAATATAAGACGTGAGTTTAAAAGCACTAGATTTTGTAAATTACTTCGTTTAAATATGAATTTTAGTATTAGTAAATAGTATACTTTAGCATTACAGTTTAATTTTGTAAAAACGAACGTATTTTGTTGAAATTTGTATTTTTATAGTAAATTTAATATTTTTGCATCATTGAATTTGAAGCGAAAAACGACTGTGTAGAGGAGGCATTCAAAATTATCACACAAACGGATTCGGGAAAGGTCAAGATGGATCTTTCCAATGAAATCGATGGATACCTGAAATTTCTCGTGATTACAATTCTTCTTTGTAGTTTAGTTATCGATAAGACAGTTCGTATAAATATTAGATGGAAATACCCCCATTAATGGGACACTTATTTATTTTTATCTCTATAAGTAGCTACTACCGAGGTTTCACGAGGGAATGTGCTAGCACCAGGATACCTGAGCCGAAGTCCCTACCCCTAATCGAATAATTGAGCTTTTTCTAATATTGCTAAGTACCCAAGACAAGAAAAATTCATGAAAAAGTGAACAGTCAAAATTAAGGGATATATGAGTAATAATTTGTAGACGTGAGAAGAACAGCCATTGTCAAGTATAAAGAAAGACGTTTCCTGTATATTAGCTGCAAACAAACTAACTTGTAAAATATTCTATTTGTTTACTGAAGGATGCTTACTTAGTGTTACTAACGACGAGTTACTAATTCATTAGGCGTTTTTTTTTTCGGGGGGGGGAGTTTCAGTTGTTGCTATTCTATTTTGAGAAATTCGACCTGGAAGTTAATTAAAATGTGATAAAACTCAGCTAAAATGCACACTGGATGTGCCGTATGAGATCGAATATATAATGACGGGTGATTGCTTTCTCTGCGCACTTTATGAAATTTATAGCTGTTAACTGGAAGATATTTCGAAGTGATTAACAATTTGTGTGACAATTAGAATTTTAACCAATCCTATGCTAACTTGTAAAATGTTACCGTAATCAGCACTTAACTCCAAAATTTCCAAAACAACTTAAAGAATATTTGATTTCTTTGGAAATGATTTAAGATTTATTGAACAGGTATAAAGCTAAGCTGTTAAGTTATGTTATAAATGAATTGCAAGACAGTTTAGGAAAGGTAGCAAAGCAGATAACAAGACTTCAGAGTTAATTAAGCGGGAAGTGTAAAGCAGTAATTCAAGGGTAATATGGATATAGAAGCGCGGGAGATTATATTATAATGACATAAAGAGGTTCTGAACAGAATGTAAATACACAAACTCAAATCACGATGCTTTTCATCCGCCGTTATCTAAATGAAACGATCCCAAATCAACAAAGTAAATTTGAAACAGAACATTTCGGATTTTATGCTCAAATTCAAGAAATATTCGAATAGATTTTCTTGATATTAAAGCCTCCTTGTTACAACCTAGAACAAATAAATAGAGTAGAAATTAATTTAAGATTTATTTGGTTGAATGTTGGATATATGCGGATATTTATCAATTTTTAAAGTGTCTCATTAAACTTGTAAGGATTATGTTAATTTTATTAACAGTTAAATTTTGAGTTAAACTTGCTTTCCTATCGCTTCTTAATTTCAACTTACCACTTCCGGTCAGAAAGTAGTTTTAGAATCGCGTCTGAATGCTAATAGAGGAAGAGCGGTATTTAACCGCGAAGTTCTACTGTCTTAGTGAGAGACATACCAGATAGTCTGGCTGCACGCGTCCGCCTTTTTAGGCTACTCTCTCCTAAGCTATTATTACGCTCGGCCGTACTTTAGGCCCTTGAGAGCTTAGCAGTCAATTAGAGTAAAGGAGTCAACTCTGTTAGAATTTTGATAGCTTCGGCTATATCTCTTTAGTTAAGATTAGTTTAGTTTAATTCTTAGTCTCTTAAGTTGAAGCCCGAGTGTCGGCTTTATTGTACAACTTCAAGACGAAGTTCTGTTAAATGTTATTTGAATAATAAAGGGTCTTTTAACCCTTTGCAAGTTTATTCACCGTCTCCCGAACTCAAGCGATTATTCGCTTACTAGTTCTTAAGAGTTTTTACTTTTAACTGTAACTTAGAATTACACAGTGGGGAATCCTACAAACTTGGTAAGATTAAGTGTCCTGTAATGTTTATGAAATAGAAAATAAATTCCTACCTGAAAGTTTCAAGAATGAGAGCAAAAATTTTACAAAGTGATAATAAAACCAAATAATGTAAATAATTTATTTCACCTAGCTAGTACTAAAAATAAGTAAATGTGTTATTTACGCTCATAATAGATTTAAAAGAATGGAGTTGAAAAGCCTAATGAAATGAAAACTTATAAAAATGCATAAAATAATATATATAGTAGTAAATCGATGTTTTATTTATGATACCGTAAAATGTCTAGGGAACGCTTAGCATACCAAAAACGGCTTTTTAAGCTACATATAAAACCTGGCAATGTAAAATAAACTAAAGGTTTCTTACAAAAAGCAAAATAATAATAGATCCATTTAGTTTTACTACACCTTTCGCCATTAGAATTTAGTATTTACAATTTTGAATTTAGAATTTCTAGAAATATTAGAAAGAATTATTGATTATTGAAATGTTAATCAGTTACTTAATAATTTTAAAATAATAGATACCTAATTATGAAATTGAAGAGGTCTGACGGTCTGACATTTAGCAAATATTTTCCCCATTCTACTAACACAAGTTCTTCCAAAATTTAGTGTAATTTGTTTAATTTCTATAATCGAGTAAATATTAATCCAAGAATTTACTTTAGACAACAATTTTATATAAATAATATATTTTTTACTAATTACTAGTTTAATCTGATTTCCCCCAAACCAAATTATTTAATGGAGTATCTAGCACATATTATCAAACGAATCTTGATATACTACTATAGCTTTTAAAATTAATGATCTTTCCTTTTTTCTGTTTAACTTTCTCAAAATCTATAACCAAGTATGAAGATAGAAAACTCTTACATATTTAACTTGAGAGCAAATGTTTATTAAAGATTTTTTTATATTTGATTTATTTTAATAAATGC